TTGTATTATATATATATATATATATATATATATATAGAAGTTTAGGTGTAGATATGAAGAGTTGTGTGCTACATATGTAAATTTACCTAAATAAAAATGAATGGCTACTACTGTTTTTTCTCATGCAATTATTATCTGAACAGAGATCACAAAAATATTAGAAAAATTTTCATGCATGCTGCTCAACTCTTATCTATTTACATATCTAAAATAAAAAAAAACTATTTAAAAATTAAAATAATGATATTTTGGTCTTCATGAACATTTATCTTGTGTTGATTGGTATAAGTTTATTTGATTTAAGGGTTTTTCTTTAAAATTTGCTTTGTATTTTTGAATAACTATTCATAATGAGATTAATACTTGTGACATTTTTTCTCTCAAGGGTATTTCCATTAATACTATATGTGTTCTTTGCTCAAATGAGGTTGAATCACATAATCATTTATTTTTTGAATGTCATTTGTCTCATTATCTTTTTTAATAACTATATTCCTCATGGTCAATTCTTTACTGCTCCTCCCAATAGATTTCAGGTTTTATATCATCAAATGTTATCTCATGTAAATCTATAAGATTTCATATTTTAACTTGCTTATTTCGGTTGATATTATTATTCAGAATATTCATTGGATAGTAAAGAAGAAAAGTACGAAATGGAAGTTCAAGAATTCTATTCCTTTGATTTTAGGGAATTTTTATAACTTACATTGATTGCTTTATTTCATGTTGATCGTATTGTTTTTTCGATTTTTCTTCTTTAGGTTTCTTTTAAAGATGCTTTACCTCTTTTTTGTTTTGAGCTTTATAAATTTAGTTGTTTGTTGCTTTTGCTTTTTTGTGTTGATTAGAGTTGTTGTGGTGGAGTTTTATTGTTGGAGTTTCTGCTTTGATATTGATTGGAGTTTCTGGCTTGGCTGGATTAATGCTTTTCGACAGTCTCTCTTTTTGCCTTGATCTTTTCTATTTGTTGAGATTGGTTATGTGCATTTATTCCTTGATCTTATCTAAATGCTGAGTTTGTTATTAAACATTGATAAATTCCAGCCATTATTAAAATTCAACCAAGTTCTTAATATATATATATATATATATATATAATTCAAAATTTAGGATGAAATTTTAGTGTTATTATGCAGGTTAGCTCTGAGCTATGGTAGTTATTTTTTTTATCTTCGTTCTCTCTTGTTTTTCATTGGTTCTCTGTTATTTGTGTTGCTCTCTCGTTTATTTTTCATAGCATGGCTTACTGTTCTTGGTGGACTGTCTATCTATCATTGAGGCTGATGTTGTTGTTATTGTTGTTTTATGAGTGTTGATGAGATGCTGTTAGAATTTTGTTGATATTGGAGTGTTGTTAGTGTTATGTTGCTATAGGAGTGTTGTATGGTGTTCTGTTATATTGGTTACTGCTGGAGGGTTGTTTTGAGTGTTGTGTTGTTGTTTTTATTGATTACTGTCTGTCCATCAGTGGTGTTTTCTAAGTTTCTCGTGAGTTGTAATTTGAGTTTTCGTTCTGTAACTATTTGTTTCTTCTAATAAAGTTGGGCATGGCTAAATAGGTAAGAATTCATGGATTGGTGTGCAAGTAAATGCCCCAAAATACCATTCAAGAAAATGAACCTCACAAGTGCTACTATTTATGCAAATTAGTTTATAAATCACAATTAAGTAACAACAAACAAATATAATTAAATCGTTAATCCCAATAGAACTATCTATAAAAAGAGATTAAGAACGGTAGAATCTTATAACAAAGCACACAAAGACAAAAATCTATAACTTTCTCTCTCTAGAAGAAAAAAAAAAAACTTTCATAAGTTAACTGCATCAAGTTTCTTGCGGGTCATGGCGACGCCACACCAGTGAGAAGAGGTAGATGAGGAGAGATATGTTTTATTAAGAGTTCATTTGAGAAGATGACGAAGTTTCATTTAGTTGGAGCGAAAGCCGACTCCTACAAAAATTTTTATTTGGTGAAGCAGCAGGACACGGATGTCTCCCGATGTTTTTTTCGCAAGGACAAAAAATTTTTGTTGTTGCAGATATCAGTTGGCCTCCTCCGATTTCACGAACATGGCTTTTAAAAGAAATTT